AACAATCTATATAGAAACAGGCAAGAAAACGTAATTACCATTTTTAAATCGAATAAATCAATATAAATCAGTAACATGCACACTAATGGAAAGATCTGTTGTTCCACATTAATTCTGCTTCTGCCATTTCTGAAACGTTGTTTAAAAGTTGTCTATTGAAGCAAGTTACAAATGTCTAAGAAATTGAAATTATCTAAAGATATCATTTACTATTTTTAACTAATACTGTTACATACCAGTTGATTGTCATAAATCCTTTTTTCAGCACACTGTCTTCGTTCCCAATAAAAAAGAAGGTACTTTCATGCTTACTTTAGAACCATAGGCACAGCTACTTTCCGGGGGCAAATGAGGACTATTACAACCAATGCTCCAAAATCTCATAATTTAATGGTATCCGGAGCTCTTCTAATGTTCCTGTAAAATGAAATCTTATAAAGTGTTCAGATATAATTAATCAAGTATTAAGTAAATAATATGCACGATATATTGCTGAAGTTATACGGAATCTTTGTCTTTGTTAACATCAAATAAATACACTACATATAGAAAATACAGTATGCATGCTCACCTTAATTAACCACAAGAATCTTCAAGATGAAAGGTTAACAGCTAAAACACCATAGGAGACGACTTATCTTTTCAGTAAGCAAAGGATATAAGTTCAAATCTCTCTCAATTGTTGACTAATCTGTGTAAACGGACAAAAACAATTATTAACTAATTAATTTAATAGATATCTGTTACGCAGAAAATTTAAATATTTAATCCTTTCTCTCAAAGTCAAAATATATGCGGAAAATAGATAAAAAAAAGAATTAAACACTCGTATTAAACAAATGAAACATGAAATAAAACAAAAACACGTAATAAAAGACCAGTCAAAAACGAATAAAATAACAAAACATTAAAAATGGCGACGTGGCCACCTGATGTCTGTTTCAAGATATAACCTTTAAAAATTTTGTCAATTTAATTTATGCTGTGGGCAAATACGGAGAATAATAATAAAAAATATGAATCAATCAAACTAACCTTTCAGACGTAGAACTAATTAAAACTAATTTTGCGAAAAAATTAGCACGATAAATTGAATTTAAGAGACGCGACAACACGTCCTTCCACCTCGAAACTTTATGAACTTATGATGTACCAAATGCGTCTCAGGCTTGTCCCGAAATTGCGATAGCTACTGCACGAAGCACTGATGACGTAGGCAAACGCCAATCAGAAGCGTCGAATTCGATGTCTGCGACGCTATAACCAATCGCGTGCCTAGTTTCATCCCCATTTTACAGAATTCAATTTATGTGAGTTTTTGCTTCGTGAGAGTTCTATCGCCTGATCACAACTCTGAAGATTTATGTGTTTTTGGGGTATAGTAAAATTCGACCAAACGGACAAGTTGAATTTTTAAACATTAAACGAATGAAATTAAGAAATTAGGTAATTGCAGTATAACATTTTAGAACTACCTTATTGTTATTTTTAAAAAAATTGCACGCAATTGAAGTTTTTCTAGTAATTATATGTAGTAATATTAACAAACAGTTTCTGTGGTTTAATTCTCCTGTGCCCGAATTATTAATCTTGATGTATAATATACGATACACAATATTAAAATCTGCCGATTTCAATTATTCAAAATTTGAAGCTTTTATGAAATTATTAGGTAACTAACTAACTAACTACATTTTGTAGTTATTTTGTACCAAAAGATGATACAATGTGTACTTTGCATAGCTACACATAATGCAGTCAATTAATTTCATTTAGGTGTTTAAAGAAAACCAATAGATGTCATAAATGATATAGTCTATTACTCATATCACAAAAGAAAAAAACACTTAGAATATATTATTCATCTTGTACAGGAACGTACAAAGTTTTAATTATAAAACCGTTGTCAAAAAATTGACAAGCATCTTTCGTTGACACAAGGGTGGGAAATTTTAATTTTTCATTTGAGATAATTCAATATCACAGCTAGTTTTTCCTTTCTTGTGCCAAAGAAAGTCAACATCATCATAAGGTCGTCAGTCCTAAGACTGGTTGGACACGTACCTCCACTCTTTCCTATCCTGACCTAAACTTCGCATTTCCCTAAAACTACAACAACCCACATCCTTAACTATTTGCGAACAGTAATCTAATCTAGGTCTACCTCTACCCCTCCTAGCTCATGTTTCTGCCTCTAATATGTCTGACTAGACCTTCATGTCTGAGAAGGTGTCCTACCAACCTATCTCACCTATTTCTTATTGACTTCCATAGAGTCCTCTGTTCTCCTAGTCTTTCTAATACCTCTTTATTTCTAACCTTTTCTATCCTGCTCTATCCCCTGCTTTATATCCCTACTACTCCTTCCGTCTCGACTTATCTGACTTCCTAAATATCTAAAATTAGCCACTTCTTCTAATTTTTCGTCTCCTATTTTTATGTTCGCTCTTTTTTTACTTTTTCTTCCCGTGCATACTAATATTTTAGTTTTACTTTTATTTATTTTTATACAGTACTGTTTTGTCAGTACAGCTTCTATTTTATTTAAAGGTGCATAACATTTTTTACGAAGGTTTTATAACTAAACCTTCAATTTTCTTCCTTGGAATGCGATTTAAAAACACGGATATTTTTAAAAATACAATGCTTTTTGAAAACGTAGAAATAAATTTTAAACTTCAGATGTCATAAACAAATGNAGTTTTACTTTTATTTATTTTTATACAGTACTGTTTTGTCAGTACAGCTTCTATTTTATTTAAAGGTGCATAACATTTTTTACGAAGGTTTTATAACTAAACCTTCAATTTTCTTCCTTGGAATGCGATTTAAAAACACGGATATTTTTAAAAATACAATACTTTTTGAAAAGGTAGACATAAATTTTAGACTTCAAATGTCTACCAAATAAACAAATGTTACAAATTTCTCAATGTTTGGACAGAAGATTAAAAATTCATTGCGTTAATTCATTACGCATCTTTATCAGCATTCGTATAAAAAATTGAAATGCACACGATACAAGGTAAAAATGCTCACGTTAAATAAATAAGTATACAAAAGAAAATGAAAAAAAATCACTTACATTAACAGTGTTGTGTTGTAAAATCATATTTATTTTCATAGATTACTTATGTATCAAATAAATTTAGATTATTTTATTAAAATCCAAAAATTTAGCTGCTTATAAATTTCAACTCCCACTGTAACATCTCTATTTTTATCTAGACTACAGCGCACACTTTAATTAAGCGGGAAGGTACCATCATAACATGGATTTAAAATATATTTATAGTTTTAAATTTTAAATATCGCTAAGTCTGCTCGTCTTTGATATAGGCAACTCACTTCACTGCAAAGTAATTTAACGTCAAACTGCAGTAGCAGTTCTTGAATTTCTTTACTCGGCATTCAAAATCAGGGTTTAAAATATTAAGACATAAAAGCTTTTTTAAATGGGGGGGTTGGAAATACACATCGATGTTCTCTATGAATTTTTATGGCAAAGTCACCAAAATGTATTAGGGCTATAAACGCCAACCAGGCCTTTTTGGAAAAAATTTAGATAAATTGAAGTTCGTAATTACCTTTAACTCCAGAAAAATAATGGACAATCTAACTGTATTATACAAGGAAGTAACATACGTTTGTCATCCTATGCATTACGTTCAGAATGTCTAAGTTGTCTATTGAAGCAAGTTACAAATCTTCAAGAAATCAAGTTCCTGGGACCCTCATTTACTAATTTTAATTGATACTGTTACATACCAGTTTATTGTCATAAATCCCTCCTTCAGCAACACACTTCTTAAGCACATTGTCTCCGTTCCCAATGGAAAGGCACTTTCATGCTTTCTTTATGACCATAGGAACAGTCACTTTTTTAGAGTCAATGAGGACCGACACAATCAATGCTCCACAATTTAATGGCATCTGGAGTTCTTCTAACATCCCTGTAAAATCAAATAATAAGAAAAAGTATTCAAATATAATAAATTTAGACCCCATACTAAGTAGAGTGCATAAATAAATTGTTAAAAGTAACGCCGTACCCTTTTGTCTTTTAATATCAAAAAAATACACTACATATATACAATACAGCATGTATACTCACCTCAATTAACTACAAGAGCATCNAAAATAATTAACTACTTTTAACCAATAATATTATAAAAGTGATTGCTAAAATAATAAACACACAATGTAACATTTAGTAGCGAAATAAACAACTGTAACGATATTTAATCCTATCACATTTCTTGTGACTCAAATTAAAATCAATTTAAAAGTACAGATAGTTCATATTACCGTTTAAAAAAGATAAAATGGTTTATCCCTTGTATTAAGGTAATATTTTAATTATTGTGTACATTTTCATCGAATCAGAAGTAACTAGTTTTATTTTAATAAATCTTTTTACGCTCTTAATCAGCTCTGAATATTTTGATTAACCCATTAGGAGGAGAAAACTGACCGTAATACATTCTTAACGTATTAAACTACAAAATGCTACATTAAAAAAAAAATATTAACGATAAAAAAATAAGTACAATGTTGTTTACGAAAAAATACTAAATTTAAACTAATAACGAAGTTGCTTATATACATTAATAAAGGCTAAATTATGGATAAGGTTGAACAATGCATTTTATCTGCAATGTTCAAACCCACCTTTAATTTAGTCATAATATAAATTATAAGTGATTTTGTTAATGTTGTATGTTTAGTATTTCTTCCACTTGTAAAAACTACTGTTTAGCAAAATGATCAATGTGGTCTATTAAACTAAACCTTTTTTGTTCATCTATTGCAAACTTTAACATTCCGTAATCAACTTAGAACAAACTCCCAAACAGTACTATTTTAAGAATCAATAAGTAAAGCTTCTTTTCCAACAAATACATTTAATTGATTGTATAAGCTGATATTTCAAACTTTTCCATAACGTAGCGAAATGTTCAAGAAATATTAATTATTTATTGTAGACACACAACACCACAATCACCACCTGATGAAGCAACTGTGTGGTGGTGAAACGATTGTTGCAATACTAAAATTTATTGAAAATTGGTACTTAGATTATGAAACTATTATAATTTGGAATTGCATAATAAACCAACTAAGATCTAAAAGTATTTTTAAAGGATTTTTGCTTACCTTCTAGTCCTACAACTTCTACTAATGTATTCAAAAGTAACCAATTACATGCCATCAACTCATTGATCAGTAATCCATTTCACGATCTGATCGTTACGCTTATTTTCAGGGAAGAAGTCACCTTTATTACTCTTCTTCGAAGCTAAATGGAGAAAAAAGAATAACAAATTTAATGTCTTTATCACTTAACAGTTTCATAATTTCTCGTCACTCATATAGACAACCCACTGTACTGCAAAGTATTGTGATCGTCAGCGCAGCAGGAGACCACATTTTGGTATTTTCGGTTCGTTTCTTAATGAACAAATTAACTATTCAATTCAATACATTCAGGTGGGTGGGTTAATAATAAAAACGACGCTCTTAGATTGGGGATTGAGAGTGCAGCCTGGTTATTTCCGACTGTGAAATTTTTTTTACTGATGCCCCTTAACTTTAACTTAGTTTTCTTCACATAGTAATTTATCAAAATAATTAATTTATTATAACTCAGCCAACATTAAGTATTAATTATTTAAAAAATTATTCTGTGAAAAAAAACTATAAACTATGCGTCTTTGTAATTTAGAAAATGTTTTTCCCCTTCGAATTTAAAATATTCATTTATTACCATGAAATGTTAAGATAATGTTTCATAAATTACAGACCACTGATTAAGTTTAATTAATAAGCGAGTCTGTAGGTGAAATGTAACTGAACATATTAGTACCTAATTAAACAAATAATTTTAATGAATTTAATTTAAGAGAATTATCTGCTCCTCAATCTGCTTTACAGAGACAAGCAATAATAGCTTTACGATTATTTCGGGGCAAGTGTATATATATTCTATATGTAACCAGCATATTTGTGAAGTTCTTCAAAATAAAGTCCAGTAACCATTTTCTAGCCCCATAATTGCAAAAAGCATTACTAATTATATATGCAAGACAATGAAATTTATTGCATACGACAAAAAAGCCGTGAAGTAATTGTCGCTTGTCTCTGTCAAACATATTAGGAAACATATAAATCAATATTAACGACACTAACGTTTATAGTTTTGGAATGATTTAATGAAAATTCTGCATCTAACAGCTTAATTAATTTTGCTACATACCATTTTATTACGGTAACTTCCTCTTTTAGCAACATCAGCAAACTGCAAGTACTTCCAATAGGAAAAGAAATGTTTCCTTCTTACGTCTTGGGGTGAAAGAAGACCATTACAACCAATGTGCAACAGGGCCAAATAAACTTCCATATGCTCCCATCAAAAAATAAACGGCATAATGTTCCAAGGCAAAGGAATCTACAGTCGCAATACCATTTTAGATTATTTGTTACCGTAGGATCGAACTTTACTATGAACACTTATCATCCAACTATCTACCTGCAGAAATGGACAAAAAAAATAATTAAGCTATTAACGTGATCTGGACATTAGATAAAATATAAATTAAAAATTATTTTGTTCTGTGACAGTACTAAATCTCTCTGAATTCAGACAATTCTTCAAGGAAAAACTGTAAAAAACAGAAAAATAAAGTAGAAGAAAATTATCTCATATGCAACCACACATGCATCAATGTAAACTCGATTGCTTACAGATCATTGCTCAAAAATTGTTATTTTAAAACCACTATTTGCGGCTACAAGATTGTAAAAACATTATTTATATTTTTTAAATCGATAACAGAATAAACTAGGAAAATGATTGCTTTTAACGAAAAAGTGTATCTGAAATTATCAATTATTCACACTCTGCATTTTATTGCAAAAGATAAAAATTATCTATAATAAATCTTGTAAAACAATTATGTATTTCCAAAACTGACATCAAAGTTTCCTTTCTGTAATCCGAAACATTTTATTAAAGTACAACAAACACAAAAATCATCAAAATGATCAATTTTATGATTATTTCGAGCTACCAGACAAAATACCAAATTGTTATTAAAACACCGATAGATTTTTAGTAGAACAAAAAAGAAGTCAAACTTCAAATTTAACAGCACACAAATATACTTTTGCTACTGACTCCTAATTAATTTATTCCAATGTGCACACTGTCTTTTTTAATAAATAAATCCTTCTACAATAATAACAGAAAAAGTGGTTCGAAATAATTAAGCAAAATAATTACTACTTTGTCAAGCTTTGCCATTTTACCTTATAAATTAATAGATTGTTGCTTATCCTCATTGTTTTGCTTCCAATAAATAAAAGGGATACTGCTCCATACTGGGATGAAATAGGGATTGCTACTATCACAGTCCAACTACACATGATGTCCAAAGTTCGAGCAGAAATTTTTGCACAATAGTTTTAATTTCATATTACTTACAAAATTCACCACACCTAAAGGCTACAGTTCACATAGCCAAAAACTTTCACAAACTCCATTTGTCTAACTGGCACTGCTGCCATACTATCATACCCATAGATAAGAGATATATTATTAGGCATATGTAGTAGATCGGTCATACCCATAGATTATGTCATACCTGTTATACTGTAGAATATGTTAAATTAGACTAGTCGTCGGCATGTTACTAAAGAAAAAGACTACATATTTTTTTAAATAAATTATTACCATATTATTTTTTAACATATCAAATAGAATTCATAGCGATCATAGTGCTCTCTATTATTTTATTAAATTTTCGATGTAGAGATTGGACTCGTTATCTATATCTATAGTCTTTAGTAATCTATGGTCTTCATATGGAATAATCTATGGGAATAATTATTATAACCTATTTGCTTCTTTTACAGTTCATAAAAAATAATGCCGTGCATATATAGTAATTAATAAAATATAGTTCAAGGAATTCAAACATTTGAAAAAACAAACATGACTGCGTTTGAAGGTAATTACAATGTTTTTTTTTTTTATTACATCGTTAATATCAATTTCTATTTTGTAGAATTTGGAGTTTTACCGGAAATTGCAAAAGCTGTAGAAGAGTTAGGCTGGATGTAAGTTTTTTCTATAAATAAAAAATAACACCAGCTTAAGAGAACATCGATTTTTCAGCTTACCAACAGATATACAAGCAGAGGGTATACCGTTGGTTCTAGGCGGAGGTGATGTACTAATGGCTGCTGAAACTGGTAGTGGTAAAACGGCAGCGTTCTGTCTTCCTATTATACAAATCGTTTGGGAAACGTTGAAGGACATAGAGTCAGGCAAAGCCAACAGGATTTCAAAATCGACATGTCAGTAATATTTTAGCATTGTTGAATGGTGATGATGTAGATTTTTAAATGTCATTTAGCACCTCCATGGACAATGTCGATAATGGATAGAGGAAATGCATTTGCTGTTGATCCTACAGGCTTAAGGGTGCAGTCCAGAGAACTGCGTGAATGGCATGGAGGAAGATGTACTTGTGGAGTTCAGGGAAGTGGTAAATGGGGTTTTGAAGCTACAGTCACTGATGAAGGACTGTGTAGAGTGGGTTGGTCTACTTTAGAAGCTTCCTTAGATCTTGGGACTGATAGGTATTAAAATACAATATTTATTACTATTTGAAATGAATAAAATTGGATTTAATGTTAGATTTGGATTTGGTTTTGGTGGTACAGGGAAAAAGTCAAATAACAAACAATTTGATAATTATGGAGAGGCATTTGGCAAAAATGATGTAATTACCTGCCTGTTGGATTTAGATAAAGGAGAAATTGCATTTTTAAAGAATGGAATTGATTTGGGAAGTGCCTTCACTGTTGACAAACAACTTAGGAATTCTGCCTTCTTCCCGGCAGTAGTTTTAAAGGCAAAATGTAAGCATATTATATAGTTAATTTTTACTAACATTTGATATTTTTTTAGAATGCAGAAATAGCATTAAACTTTGGAAGTACAAAATTTAAATATACTTTACCTACTGGCTTTTGTCCTATTTGCTCAACTCCAAGAGATTTGACTGTCATAAATACAAATGGCTATTCATCTTTGGACACTAATAAAAGCACCAAGAACGCAAAAAATGCCCCTTTTGCTGTTATAATTGAGGTAGAAAATTTGTTTATTTAATATTGTTGGATAACAACACCCTCGCAAACTAATCAATTTATTTAACCAAGTGATCATTCAACAACATCACTATAATAAATTTATCACTCGTTTACTACTATATCGCACACTAATGAGGGCTACACTTATTCAAGAAAGATACCAGAATGTAGGTTCTAGAGATTCTATTTGTTATTAGAGCGATCCACTGTGGACCACTTATCTCTTTGTCATGTATAGTGGGTTGCCCACTCGTAATTTTACTTCATTTATGCGGTGTAATATGTTGTTTCAGCCTTCTAGAGAACTTGCCGAACAAACGTGTTCTCAAGTAAAAAATTTTAAGAAGTATTTGGAAAATCCCAAAATTAAAGAGCTGCTCGTAATAGGTGGCATCAATATCAAAGATCAAATTTATGCTTTACAAAATGAAGGCGTTGATATTATAGTAGGAACTCCAGGTCGACTCGAAGATCTTATTCAAGGCGGTATTTTTTGTTCTGTACTTAATTTTTAGTTTAAATGACGTTAAAAAATTTCAGGATATTTATCGCTAGCGAATTGTCGATTTTTTGTGTTAGATGAAGCAGATGGTTTGTTAAAACAGGGTTATACCGAATTAATTGAAAGACTTTATCGACAAATGCCAAAACTGACTACTGACGGTCGTAGACTACAAATGATCGTCTGCAGTGCTACATTACATGCGTTTGAAGTTAAAAAAATGGCAGTAAGTTATTGCTCATGATAATGTACACTCAAAATTGTTAAGAAACTATCTTCTTGAAAAATAACGTGCAAAACCAAGTCAAAAATTTCTGAATTTTCGCAGGAAAAGCTTATGCATTTCCCGACTTGGATAGACTTGAAAGGAGAAGATGCTGTCCCGGAAACAGTTCATCACGTTATAGTCAAAGTGGATCCACAGAAAGACCGAAGCTGGTGTAGTTTACGTAAGCACATTCAAACCGACGGGGTATGTAATAAAAAGAAAACATGTATGCATTACATTGTAATATTAATTTTTCCACTATTTTGTTGATTAGGTTCACAGTCAAGACAACATCCGTCCCGGAATGAACAGTCCTGAAGTCTTAAGTGAAGCTGTCAAACTACTAAAGGGCGAATATGTGGTAAAGGCCATTGATGAGCACAACATGGATCGAGCGATCATTTTTTGTCGTACAAAATTAGACTGCGACAATTTGGAACGTTATTTTAAGCTAATAGACGCTAAAAAATATTCCTGTGTATGTTTACATGGAGATCGAAAGCCGCACGAACGCAAAGCCAATCTTGAAGCGTTTAAAAAAGAACAAGTCAAATTTCTGATTTGTACCGATGTGGCCGCAAGAGGTATCGATATTACAGAATTGCCGTTCAGTAAGCATTTTTATTTTATTCATTACCGTTTACATTAAAGTAAAATAAAAATTTCAGTGATTAATGTCACCCTTCCCGATGAAAAGTCCAATTACGTGCATAGAATTGGGCGTGTTGGCAGAGCCGAACGGATGGGTCTTGCAATCAGTCTAGTTAGCACTGTACCCGAAAAGGTTAATATCGAAATAATTATATTAGTATATCCGATTATAATTTAATGTCAAAGATAAGTACTTCTTTAGAGCAGAATGTCACAAGAAATAAAATAAAACAAGTATCACCCTAGTTAACGTGTTTACTTTTAATCAGGTTTGGTATCATGGGGAATGGTGTAAGACGAGAGGACGTAACTGTTGGAATACAAGATTAACAGACGATGGTGGCTGTTGTATGTGGTACAACGAAATGCAGGTATTTATAATATGTCTTACTACTGTATTTTTACATATATTTATTTACTATGTATATATACACCCCATTATATGTTCTTTTTACTAAATTTTGTTTGTTGTAAAGTATTTAGCCGATATTGAAGAGCATTTGAATATTACCATTCAACAAATCCAACCAGACATGAAAGTACCTTGCGATGAATTCGATGGAAAAGTGGTTTACGGACAAAAAAGGAAATTAACAGGATCTACTTATCAAACCCATACTGTCCAAATGGCTCCCATTGTTAAAGAACTGGCCAAACTTGAAAGCGAAGCACAAATTATCTTTCTAAAAAGGCATTACTTGAAAATATGTCGCAGAGTTTAAATTCATTTTATTAACTATTATACAATTAGATTACGATAAATTACAGGTTTTGCTAATTTTTGATTGTTTTCCAAATAAAAATGGTAGAGCTGCTTTTTTTCCAAAAAAGAAATGAGCCTGTGACTTTGAAAATATATATTTATATGAATAAAATAAAAATGTATGTAATTTTGCCAGCTTTACTGTTAAATCGCCTAGGGATGGTTTGGTTGTAGTTGTTCTACGTCTACCGTTCATAATATACAAGTTTGGATGGGATGGGCTAGGAGTTATGAATATAAATGTGTCAAAATTACTTCGTCTTTCTAATTTAAATCATCTAGCTAAAGTTTTGTTCATAAGAATATTCCAGAATGTTCCATATGTATGTGTCGGTGCAAGGCTTTCACTTAAAAAGTTTGCCCATTTTTATTTTCCTCTTATCGTTATTGTAAGGAGAGTGGGTAGCGTGAGTCACAAAACGAAAATATAAATTATGTATGTTAATCGCTTTTGCACTAGGTAGTAAATGCGTCGCAAAAATTTCGAGTAAATTGTTTTATCAGCAAAAAAGATTTTGCGATTTTTGGTGAATAATTCGTGCAAGCTGCACCCTTTGTGTCAAAAGAAGAGAATGAATGTACCAAAAAAATTATCACGCAAAGCGAATCGGCATTAGCTAGTATAAGTATATTTCTTTCAATAGATTAAATATCATTCTTCAATTTTAAACTACACAAATCGTTTATGAAAAAGGAAAAAGCTTATTATATGTACATACATACTAACGTAATAAGATTAAACGTTTTATGAAGTTCCCGTTTCGATTCTTCAATAACGATGTTTTCCAACAAATATTATTACTATTATCATCTAATAATACAGCAAATAAAAGCACATTTTTCTAAATGAAGAATTACAGATACACGTAAAAACCATACGAATACCTATTGAAGCAACAATCTGTTTTTTTATTCATCCATTAATTACGTATGCGCGTAACGAGCGTCGTAATAATTCATAAAAATAAAGAATGACGTTGAAGTCTTTCCAATTGTATTCCAAATCATTTAAAAGGTACAAATTACTTGTTCAGTTACTTACTGGTCAGTTTAGTTGCTGTCCGAATCGTAATTAAAGGGACGTGAATACCACAAGTTTGAGTTCTCCTTCTTAACGATAACACTTCGTAAACGGCCACGACTTGGACCCGGATTCGATCCTGACTCTATAGTCATCTCTGGTGGTGAGAGTCGTGATCTGTCGTTATGAATAGTTTCGGTGTCGTTCCGAACAGGATCCCCTTCGTCGTTTCGACAGTAATCCTCGCCATAAAGCGACGCCAATAATTGACGGTGATTCGTTATAGTAGGCGCAACGTCATTATTTTCATTAACAGTTGTGTATCCATTTTTACGATAATCGTAGAAATCACAACATTCTTGCTTGGGTGCTGGAGAGGAAGGACATTTAAGATCGACCGAGGTATTTTCTATGGGCGGAGTATAACTATGATTTGGAGAATTCGCCATGTTGTTTTTCTGTGTCGTTTCGGAAGAGTCAAAATTTGGATAAAAATGTTCACTGTTATCCTGTACTTTAATATGTTTAGGCGAATTATCCTCACTTATATTACAAACTGAATTATCTAGGATCGTTTTTAAGTGATTCCGATTTGTTCCTTTTTTTTTATGATTCCGTTTTCCAACCTCTTTACTTCTTTTTGGTCGTAGTCTGGATCGATACAAGTTTTCTTGCTGTACATCGCTGCTTTGAGTCGTAGGACTCTTTCGCTTTTTACCTGACAGACCATCACCAGTGTCCAACACCTTATAGTACGACTGTTGTAGATGATGTTTCGATTTTCGTAATTTCATGCGCAATTTATACTTTTTGTATTTCATTTTACGTCTATAAACTTCCTCGCGACTGGTGCTAGAGCAACTGTCACAGCTTGAACTAGTTGTGCTGCTGCTAGTACTGCCACTACTGCTACTTGTACTTCTCGAAGACGACGTCGACGAAGACCTTGTTCTCTTACGTCTGTTTTTTAACTTGCAAATTTTCTCTCTACTTTGATGTTTTCTTTTCAGTCTTAATTTCAACGGCAACGTCGGTCTATCGGCAACAACAGCATCGTTATCGCTGGCAGATGAAGAAGTGGCGGTGGACAGAGATCTTTTTATCTGTCTACTGTTGCTGGTGGTCAAGGGGCTATTCTCAGAACTTGAATCTGAGTCACCTACTAAATCAACAATTTCCGGGGGTGTCGGTTCTCTTACTATTACATCTGAATCTCTACTCGAGTCCGAATTTATTTCGATTACTTCAATTGTAGGCCTACGGAAAGGATTGTTTTCAGCTGTAACAGGCTGCGTCTCAGTAACAATAGCCACATCACTGTCTGATTCATAGTCGCTAACAGAGAAAGTAGGAGATTCTGGTCTATCCGTGTACATAACGTGCCTATCGTAACCAATCATATCAAACGGTGAACGCATAAAATTATAAAACTCGTGTATGAAATGATCTGTTTTATCATCTAAATACTCAAATAGTAGGCTACGGAAGTGTCGACTGCGTATATGATGACGTAGTAGGTGTTCCATGATGACATCGACCAAATGCATCACTTGTTGTGTATTTTCATGAAGCAACGCGTTTAGTTCCCGATTTAACCAAGGAACAAGGCGATTGCGTGCAATCGGATTTTCTCTGAAACAAAAGGGATTGTTTTTTTAATAAGCCGCGTAAACCGGTTTAACGAAATAAAACCTTTTTACCCCTATTTCGCTTATTAAAAAAAATTTTCGTCCTATACATAAGAAGAAATAGAAGTTTTTGTTTTAGAATCCAGCCGTTAATATTGTACATCTAAAAAATACATACATACCTGAAAAAGCTAGGACTAATATTTCGATATTGTCCTGTTATATCAGGAGGTGCATACACCCATAGGTTCTGCGCATATATGGATCTCCTAAAGCTTGTAGAAGAACTTGCTCTACAAAAAATAAATCAAACGAAGTTAATAAATATTTCCAAAATTATTTATTATCATTTACTAAATATATATACGGGTCGTAACCCTTTCACATATTAGAGATAGTATAGTACATATAGAGAAATTTAAATTATGTCAAATGTTAAAGTGTTAACTAATTATTTGTGATCTTTATTATAAAAAGACGTACTGTTCTTCTAGAAATCGTAACAGATTTAAAGGAATTCATCTATCAAAAGTAACTTTGTCAATAGGACAAAACACTTCATACTACAATGCAGTACAGCCGTTTAGTTGTAAACCAAATTTATTATTATGAAAGAGTTTTCCTTTTGATTTTCTTTTCTTTGTTATCATTTAAAAGAAGCTTGAGCAAGTTTTTCTTCTATGGATTAATAATGCTGATATGTGCATTAGATACCATCTATTACTAATTTTTGTAAAAGGGATTAATTCCCGTTAAGTTCGTAAATAGATAAATAAACTTTTAAAGTCATTTACTTCAAATGACAATTCTCATTATAATTGTCACCATATCTATCCTTCACATTATGATATACTTAATATCTCAGAACTTTACTTTACTTCAAAAGACATTAGATAATTCCTTGCATATGGTTTCAATATAGTAGAAGCAAAAAAAATTTTTCTAATAAGAACAACATATAACGACTTTCTCAATTGCATCTATTAAAGGTTCTACCATTATGTAAAATAAATGATCATAATTTGTTTGTTTTAACTATAATGTTAATGTAAATGTGTAAATCTTAAGTTTTGATTATACATTATTCCTAAATCTTTAATACAATTTGTTCTTTTTATAATTAAGTCCTTCATCATACATTTAAAAAACTATTAATTTCACTAGTTTCATTATCTCACCAAAATTTAGTGTATTTGTTAATAAAATTAAATTAGCACACTTACCTTCTTGTTAATGTCCCAGGTATATAAAAATTGTTTGTCAAGGGATGTGATAAAAGCATTTGTTGAATGGCCAGTTCACCTCTGGGATCAACCGTGAATGTAGTTCTACATTAGGAGACAACATATATTACAGGCTTATGAATATTAAATTAATCAAAAATATATTACCTGAACTGAAAATGCCTAGGAGGTGCAGGAGGAATAAAAAGAAATGGATTGTTGTGGATATTTTGCTCTTCCAAAGATAGGTTAGGTCTTGCTATAATATGCTCATCATATTCACTATTTGACTTTATATTATGAATAATTGATTTAAAAGCTTGCTTGCAAAGAGGGCATTCAGCTTTTACCTATAATCCAAAAGTAAAAAATAATACAATTATACTATATATAAAAGTTTTGAGCGTTACCTTTGACCATTTTAAAAGACATGTAAAACAGAATTGATGCATACAAGAATTTGAGTAGCATTTATTAGTACAAGTTCCTAAACAAATGGCACACTTTGGTGGAGGACTTGCAGAAGATGAACGACACGTTTTTGGAGAAGTAACTTCCGCCATTTCTGTTTTACAATGATAAAAACTTACTAATTATACTTAATTTTGCATCAGAAAATATTTGAAGCGGCCTTCATTTCGACAACTCAAATTCTCTGTAAAACACACAGAAACAATTGCAACAGTACATTTGGTCGTTTGTTGGAATTTACTATAGACATTGTGTTAATTGAAAACTAATTGAACGTTAACAATTACATACAATAACACATTACTAAACTAGTGTGGATTTAAGTAATTCTACTTGCTTTAATTAAAAAAATGAAATTTTTTGAAATTCATCAAATTTGCAGTCACTTGCACAATGTCATCACAATGCAAAATGTATCTATCATAGAGTATCTATCACATATCTATATGTATCTATCACCTATTTGCTTTGTTACTTTTTGACAGTTCAAGTAATGGTATTTGGATTTTTATTTTTTAATGTTTTGTAGTGAAATATTAAAAATTACAATTGCTAAATTTTAGTAAACTCGTTTCATAGAATTGAATTTGCTCCGACCTACACTTTAATACAAATAAGAAATTCGTGAAATCAAATGATGAACTTTAAAAAAGCTGAAGCCATATTTATTTACTCCTACATTCATGATAAACTACAACTTTATGTCTTACTTGCTCAATTCAGAAGTTGAGTGGAAAATAATTTATTTAATCGTAAATGTAATTTGCAATAGCGAGATAATAATCGTTCTTGAAGCAAAAATGGCGCGCAATCGATTGGTGTCATCTAAAGTGGGTTTTTTATAATAATGTTTAAACAAATGGCGATTTAATTTTTCCTAATACCTCCCTTAAAAAATTAAAGATGTAGGTGTGATGTTTTTATTAAATTATCCCTGAAATCGTAGCTTCTTCAAGGAGTCTTTTCTTCTATTTTCGGCATGAAGACCTAGAGTTTAAATGACGTTAAAAAATTTCAGGATATTTATCGCTAGCGAATTGTCGATTTTTTGTGTTAGATGAAGCAGATGGTTTGTTAAAACAGGGTTATACCGAATTAATTGAAAGACTTTATCGACAAATGCCAAAACTGACTACTGACGGTCGTAGACTNATAATAATGTTTAAACAAATGGCGATTTAATTTTTCCTAATACCTCCCTTAAAAAATTAAAGATGTAGGTGTGATGTTTTTATTAAATTATCCCTGAAATCGTAGCTTCTTCAAGGAGTCTTTTCTTCTATTTTCGGCATGAAGACCTAGAAATCAAGATAGATGTATATATTTTGACTTAAGTATGAAAAAAAAAGATTAGGTAAATTAAAGAAGATAGTAACTTTTTTAATTTTTTAATAAACACGATATTCATTCTACTCAATGGCATGTTGTATATCTATTACTTTTCTTTTCAGTTCCCTTTTATCTACGACTTGAACGTATCTATACCTACGCCTACATCCATGGTATACTTAATGGGCGTAACCATAGATAACCATATTACAGCTGAATGATTTGTGCTAATCTATAACTTGTGACAGCAGGGTAGTATCTATGACCTTACCGTTACACTAGTGTTACTATATTCACTTTAATTTAAAATAGAATCTGAAGAATTCACAATTTGCATCTTTGAGTCTGCATCTGTTCGATTTATTCTGCCAGTTTTGCCTAATACAGTTATAATTTTAATTATTACTGCGATTTTTGCGAATTGGCGAATTAACTATAAGTAATTTATTGTGGTGTATGTTAGTGTTTTAAAATGGCTGATAAAAAAGGTAAAATATGTTTCAATTGTATTTTGCATCAAATAATGAGTAATAATTATTACTACTTTTAAAAAGCGATTACCATTATAAGAATAGAGGGACAATTAGAATGTAAGCGTTTTTGATGGAGTTAAATGAATAAATACCATCAATCAATAGTTGATTTTTCATCTCTCTCTCCATTGCAGTAGAAACGTATGTTGCATTTCATTTTACTACCAAAACTTGTATGGCCTTGCCCTACATTCAAGCACTGCAGTATTTATCAAAATAAGGGCAGAATCATTAAATTATGTATTACTTACAGCCCATGCAAAAAGAACAGCTCTTAAGGCGAACAGACATTTGGACGAGGAGCAAGGACCTGAGCTAAAAACAGTACTTATTTAATTTTCATGTGTTTTTATACAGTGGCTGATGCTTGTTGGTTATCTGCTCATCAACTACCTCCACTAGTTGTTTGACTAAAAAAAAAACAAAACGGTGCTGCAGTTTAAATTTTGCACATATTGGAATATCATTTTAATATAATAATTTTTAAAAACTGTATTTAGCAACTTCAAAGNTATTGCATGATTTAAGTGTAAGTTTTTATGTTTTAATAATAACATATGTATCTTATTTAAATAAATGAATAAAATGCAGCACCGTGAACCTGTTGGAGTGATTTATATGAAAGATTAAAACACATGGTTACAGTCCATTATCTAAGAACATAAGCTGTTACTTTTGTGTAAAATTTCATCTTGTGTTTTGTTTGGTGTATGCAGTTTTTTGTTTTCTGTTACGTGCGTGGCGTTTCACAATTCTCAAAAAAAAAAAAAATGATAAACCACCAAAAAAAAATAATATGCAGTATACATTAAGAAATTTAATAAAATTAACGCATTCTCACAGTTGCATTTATCCAATGGTACTCCAACAGGTAACAAAAAAAGTAGTTAAATTGTAAAAATATGAGTGATTTAACGTTAGAAATGCAATGGGAATATTCACTGCATGCAAGAAATAACATTTAACATATTAAATTTTTGCGTGACACAGAAAGTTGATAATTTTATTGGGAACACCCCATTTTTACATTGAATTCTATATTTTTCGCAAATAATTATCATATACTGAATTATTAAAATTATTTTAAAGGATCTTCCTTTATTTAGATTCATATAAAGGAAAATAATTAGATACTTCTAGATGTTGCATTAACGCATCATTAGGAACATCGATTATGATTCGTAATAAACATTCACAATTTTTATTGCAATGTACGGTTTTTTCCCCGTTGCTGTTTTGCTCATTAACGAATACAAATCCAAGATGTTCGGTTTCGTTAGTCTTGAAAAAAATAATATTATACTATCAATTTATTAACGAGAAAAAAAATACATAATGTGTATGTACCTACTTTATATAATTTAAATATACGTATAAAAACCGACTTCATGACTGCCTATATACACAAAAATTAAAGTTAGAAGTGCGAATTATCTCCTAATTTTCACCATTAGATGTGGAATATTTTCTTCAAAAAACGGGACCACCCATGAGTTATATACATACACTTTTTCGAATAAAAAAAGAATCATCAAAACCGGGTCGTAATCTTAAACTAAAAAAAAAATCGTAAATAGAAGATTGGTTTAGAAGTGAATGAAAAAACTTAATTAATAAAAAAAAATTCGGTCCGAACAAAATCTATTAATTTATCGCAGACAGGTAATAAAAATACAAGAACATCTTGCATTATAAACGATGTTTCTAAAGTAATATTGAACATGAACTATAGTTTGTTGACATGCATGTCGTGTAGATCACTCCAGCTTCATAAATTACTTTACGATTAATTGAAAGCTTTATAAAATTGAGGATTTTTTACAGGTGCTCTACACCAGCACATATGTTGCGATTAAGATGCCTACCCTTTTTATATATAACATTTTATTAAGTAATTCCCATTCCAAATAATCGAATTATGTACATAGTTTGAACAATGTAAATTTAATGTTTTTTGAAATATTTTTGTGCTGCTACTACTACCACTACTATAAAAACGAATTTAGATAATAATAAAACTAAATCATTTGTTAGAAATTTTAAAACTTTAAAAGTCGGGGTAAATAAGGGTGGGTCTCGTTTATTTTTTTCCCTTCTTTCAAAATTGCTACAGTTACACATGTACGAATATAATTTATGTGCTTGTGTTGAGCGAATGAAAAGAATATTTTAATTTCTGTGTTAATTGTCAGCGTTAACGAGTATTCGCTGTACAACCTCAGTTGATATCATTTTCTTAACGTGATTGTTTTGCTGTTTGTCGAAAATGTAAAAACAGTGAAGTAGCTGGTGGGTTTTAGAGAATAATGCTGTAATATTAGTTTCGTAACAAAAAAATGTTTTGGCGCCCTTAATAACTTTCAAAATTGCAAATTTTAAAATTTTTGGAAACTCCGATATATGTATTTGTCTTCACTACTGGCTAAGGTAAAAAATCCTGGTTTTCTTGTTGAATTTTTTTCCTGAAGTACACAAAATTAAAATAGTTCAGCGTAAGTGCTTCGTCCCGTTGAAATTCTCTAAGACTCTCACTTACCTGTTTTTCTTTTATTAATAATTAAAACTGCATGTAACATCAAGCAAGGATAAATTGTATTTCTATAGAAAAAATGAATATTATATTCTTTCATTAGTTCACAGTATTAATTAAACGCTTCCTGCTTAACTTCTGCCATTAGTATAGCTTCCATTTAATATTGAAAGGGTAAGATTTTTACAAATATTTAATATAAGATTTCCTTTTCAGTTTTATAATTATTTAACTATATGGCTTGTTAAGCATTGCACGAACAAATAGCTATTTTAGTTTCAAAGGTTTACTTTTTATAAATTTTATAATAAAAATAAATTTAATAGTGCGTAATTAAACAGCTGGTTATATCATTATAAGCAAAATTATTTTGCGTATTTTTACAACATTTAAAGTTTACTCTCCTAAAAACGCCTTATATAATAGAATACTGTAAAGTGCTAAAGGGAAACACCAAACAGGTAATGGTTTTTTTTCTACGTGCATGCTATAGCATGATCTTAATTTTACCACCAAGACTTATAAAAGTATTATGACTTGATTCTTTTATATTTTTACATTACATCATCCATTGAATTTATTTCAAAATTTCGCTGTTTGTATATATTTATTTATAAAAAAAAAATTCTTGTATAAAGAATATCTTTTTAATTAGTTCAGTTAAATGTATGTTCCCATCGTATTTGTAAATAGGTCCTTTTTAATAACTATATATAGATACGTTATCCCAAACAGCGCAATGAAGTGCTTGTAATTTTTACGTATAGATAGGCATTCTTTTATAATTTCAGCTGCAGGAGCAGTATTACCTCCTACAGCAGTTGTCTCACTCTCCGGTGCACCAACTTCTGCTCCTCCGCAAGTTAACACACCTAGTATGGCACCTACTCATCAGCCTTATGGAGGTAAATACTTAAAAAAGCGTGAAAATGTTTGCATAAATAATTTGAATGCTGATAATCGTAGTTAGTACAACAGATAATATAATTTTTCAAAATTGTATCTTATAAAATTAGCTAGGAATTTAAAAAGCAAAGCAAAGTTGGCATACACTTCTCTTTAACGGTAATCATTCCTCTTTGTTTATAGTCCTGCCAGGCATTTCAGCTGCGCCTCCGTATATGGTTCCCGGCCAGCAGTTGTATGCACAAGGTCCTCCACCAACTTATGATCAAGCTCTTACTCATCCAGCTATTGTAGGGCAACCTGTAAGTATTTATTTAATTTTAAATTGTTACGGAATCCGCAGATTTCGTAATACCTAGGAAGTGGTGGCAGTAATATTGAAATTATATCTTTAAACAGGTTTACCAGCCAAGTGCCACCATGTACGCCGCGGGGTACCCGACTTACTTGAGTTATCCCACGTATGCTCCTATGCAATACTATCCTTCAATAGGGGCGTATTCGTATCCTGTTCAGCATGCGCAATTGCGACCGACAATCATGATTCCTGTAAGTGATTTATTAAATATTAAACTGATAATTTGAGCAGGAAATTTCGTTCTGTGTGCTAATTAAAATTAGTAGTTTCCGATCTGCAAGTGGCCTCGCTACACGAGTTCAACTTCAGAACATCCATGTACTTTTAGTCACCAATGTTTTTGACTTTTCAATACATTTAAATACATTCATGGAAATACATATATTCCGATGGCGCACGTTTTACTCACGCACGCGGTAACCTGTGCTCCGCACTATTTTTAGTAATAGTAAAATGCCAAGACCTTTAATTTGACGTATGTACTTTCGAATTCCTATTTAGTACATGGATTTGCCCTTCGGTGGTACTAAAAAAATCATTTTTGTCCATTAGTTTTTATAATTGTCTCATTGTATTTTATAGAACGGTTACGACGCAGCAGCACGTTATGATGGCTTAGGTCAACCTGTGATTCCTCCGGCCCCCCCAGGGGTGCCGCCAAATGCTGCACAGTTGGCAGCTATGGCAGGACATCCAGTTGCCATAGGTCAGAAGAAAGGTTCCTTTTTAACTGGCAGTTCCGATGGGGGATATACTTTTTGGTAGGAAATAAGATAGCAGAAGTAGAAATAATAAAATCATTAGGGAAATATTTCCATATTTTTAATCTTAAAACTACTCTGGTACAACAGTAATTCGATATACATCGCAGGCTTGTCATGCATTTGAATAGAACACTTAACCCAAAAGTTCACATAAAAATCTAATCTAAACCTTAAACGCGTTTGGACAGCGAAGGTGTCATCCTCAGAAACCAAATAATCTAAAATTTAAAATTTATTATATAAGTAGTTAAGATTCATCTGTAATTCTTATTGAAAATTTGAATGGAGACATAAATAGAATAAATAAAACAAAAAAATTACACCTGGATAAAAAATCAATATCATCAATTGGTCACTAGTGATTGTTTGAATGAAAACATGCAAATTTGAATAATTAAACAAAGGTTCATACCAAGGGCAAAGTTTAGGGGTGGTCACAATTGTTACAACAGTAATGAGTAACTTTCAGTACCAAACAGACAAAAACGAACTGCACATTGCGTATACTTCATTAAATCGCTTGAAAATCCATCGCCCTGAATTTTGGTTGAGTTGTTTAGTACCCACAAAAACTAACTAAACTTCTCGGATACGTGGTTTGATTTAACTTTGCTGATGTGTGGGATCTAATTTTAATTCAGTAATAATCGAAGTTAGGGATAGTACCGTTGTTTGAGTTATTTTGTGTTTATTTTTGTATATTGGGTGTCGAAAGGGGTTAAATTTTCGAAACATTCTTGTGTGGAATTTTGGGTTTTAATTCTTGGATATTTTTGAGTCTGTTCTAAAGGTCACAAATTTACTTTACTTTTGATATGCTAAACAAATAAAAAATATTTTATTTTGTTTTTCATACGGTATTACGTGTTATTTTACATATAACATTAATGTATTACATATCTATATGTATCTATCACCTATTTGCTTTGTTACTTTTTGACAGTTCAAGTAATGGTATTTGGATTTTTATTTTTTAATGTTTTGTAGTGAAATATTAAAAATTACAATTGCTAAATTTTAGTAAACTCGTTTCATAGAATTGAATTTGCTCCGACCTACACTTTAATACAAATAAGAAATTCGTGAAATCAAATGATGAACTTTAAAAAAGCTGAAGCCATATTTATTTACTCCTNGAAACAAAAGGGATTGTTTTTTTAATAAGCCGCGTAAACCGGTTTAACGAAATAAAACCTTTTTACCCCTATTTCGCTTATTAAAAAAAATTTTCGTCCTATACATAAGAAGAAATAGAAGTTTTTGTTTTAGAATCCAGCCGTTAATATTGTACATCTAAAAAATACATACATACCTGAAAAAGCTAGGACTAATATTTCGATATTGTCCTGTTATATCAGGAGGTGCATACACCCATAGGTTCTGCGCATATATGGATCTCCTAAAGCTTGTAGAAGAACTTGCTCTACAAAAAATAAATCAAACGAAGTTAATAAATATTTCCAAAATTATTTATTATCATTTACTAAATATATATACGGGTCGTAACCCTTTCACATATTAGAGATAGTATAGTACATATAGAGAAATTTAAATTATGTCAAATGTTAAAGTGTTAACTAATTATTTGTGATCTTTATTATAAAAAGACGTACTGTTCTTCTAGAAATCGTAACAGATTTAAAGGAATTCATCTATCAAAAGTAACTTTGTCAATAGGACAAAACACTTCATACTACAATGCAGTACAGCCGTTTAGTTGTAAACCAAATTTATTATTATGAAAGAGTTTTCCTTTTGATTTTCTTTTCTTTGTTATCATTTAAAAGAAGCTTGAGCAAGTTTTTCTTCTATGGATTAATAATGCTGATATGTGCATTAGATACCATCTATTACTAATTTTTGTAAAAGGGATTAATTCCCGTTAAGTTCGTAAATAGATAAATAAACTTTTAAAGTCATTTACTTCAAATGACAATTCTCATTATAATTGTCACCATATCTATCCTTCACATTATGATATACTTAATATCTCAGAACTTTACTTTACTTCAAAAGACATTAGATAATTCCTTGCATATGGTTTCAATATAGTAGAAGCAAAAAAAATTTTTCTAATAAGAACAACATATAACGACTTTCTCAATTGCATCTATTAAAGGTTCTACCATTATGTAAAATAAATGATCATAATTTGTTTGTTTTAACTATAATGTTAATGTAAATGTGTAAATCTTAAGTTTTGATTATACATTATTCCTAAATCTTTAATACAATTTGTTCTTTTTATAATTAAGTCCTTCATCATACATTTAAAAAACTATTAATTTCACTAGTTTCATTATCTCACCAAAATTTAGTGTATTTGTTAATAAAATTAAATTAGCACACTTACCTTCTTGTTAATGTCCCAGGTATATAAAAATTGTTTGTCAAGGGATGTGATAAAAGCATTTGTTGAATGGCCAGTTCACCTCTGGGATCAACCGTGAATGTAGTTCTACATTAGGAGACAACATATATTACAGGCTTATGAATATTAAATTAATCAAAAATATATTACCTGAACTGAAAATGCCTAGGAGGTGCAGGAGGAATAAAAAGAAATGGATTGTTGTGGATATTTTGCTCTTCCAAAGATAGGTTAGGTCTTGCTATAATATGCTCATCATATTCACTATTTGACTTTATATTATGAATAATTGATTTAAAAGCTTGCTTGCAAAGAGGGCATTCAGCTTTTACCTATAATCCAAAAGTAAAAAATAATACAATTATACTATATATAAAAGTTTTGAGCGTTACCTTTGACCATTTTAAAAGACATGTAAAACAGAATTGATGCATACAAGAATTTGAGTAGCATTTATTAGTACAAGTTCCTAAACAAATGGCACACTTTGGTGGAGGACTTGCAGAAGATGAACGACACGTTTTTGGAGAAGTAACTTCCGCCATTTCTGTTTTACAATGATAAAAACTTACTAATTATACTTAATTTTGCATCAGAAAATATTTGAAGCGGCCTTCATTTCGACAACTCAAATTCTCTGTAAAACACACAGAAACAATTGCAACAGTACATTTGGTCGTTTGTTGGAATTTACTATAGACATTGTGTTAATTGAAAACTAATTGAACGTTAACAATTACATACAATAACACATTACTAAACTAGTGTGGATTTAAGTAATTCTACTTGCTTTAATTAAAAAAATGAAATTTTTTGAAATTCATCAAATTTGCAGTCACTTGCACAATGTCATCACAATGCAAAATGTATCTATCATAGAGTATCTATCACATATCTATATGTATCTATCACCTATTTGCTTTGTTACTTTTTGACAGTTCAAGTAATGGTATTTGGATTTTTATTTTTTAATGTTTTGTAGTGAAATATTAAAAATTACAATTGCTAAATTTTAGTAAACTCGTTTCATAGAATTGAATTTGCTCCGACCTACACTTTAATACAAATAAGAAATTCGTGAAATCAAATGATGAACTTTAAAAAAGCTGAAGCCATATTTATTTACTCCTACATTCATGATAAACTACAACTTTATGTCTTACTTGCTCAATTCAGAAGTTGAGTGGAAAATAATTTATTTAATCGTAAATGTAATTTGCAATAGCGAGATAATAATCGTTCTTGAAGCAAAAATGGCGCGCAATCGATTGGTGTCATCTAAAGTGGGTTTTTTATAATAATGTTTAAACAAATGGCGATTTAATTTTTCCTAATACCTCCCTTAAAAAATTAAAGATGTAGGTGTGATGTTTTTATTAAATTATCCCTGAAATCGTAGCTTCTACAAGGAGTCTTTTCTTCTATTTTCGGCATGAAGACCTAGAAATCAAGATAGATGTATATATTTTGACTTAAGTATGAAAAAAAAAGATTAGGTAAATTAAAGAAGATAGTAACTTTTTTAATTTTTTAATAAACACGATATTCATTCTACTCAATGGCATGTTGTATATCTATTACTTTTCTTTTCAGTTCCCTTTTATCTACGACTTGAACGTATCTATACCTACGCCTACATCCATGGTATACTTAATGGGCGTAACCATAGATAACCATATTACAGCTGAATGATTTGTGCTAATCTATAACTTGTGACAGCAGGGTAGTATCTATGACCTTACCGTTACACTAGTGTTACTATATTCACTTTAATTTAAAATAGAATCTGAAGAATTCACAATTTGCATCTTTGAGTCTGCATCTGTTCGATTTATTCTGCCAGTTTTGCCTAATACAGTTATAATTTTAATTATTACTGCGATTTTTGCGAATTGGCGAATTAACTATAAGTAATTTATTGTGGTGTATGTTAGTGTTTTAAAATGGCTGATAAAAAAGGTAAAATATGTTTCAATTGTATTTTGCATCAAATAATGAGTAATAATTATTACTACTTTTAAAAAGCGATTACCATTATAAGAATAGAGGGACAATTAGAATGTAAGCGTTTTTGATGGAGTTAAATGAATAAATACCATCAATCAATAGTTGATTTTTCATCTCTCTCTCCATTGCAGTAGAAACGTATGTTGCATTTCATTTTACTACCAAAACTTGTATGGCCTTGCCCTACATTCAAGCACTGCAGTATTTATCAAAATAAGGGCAGAATCATTAAATTATGTATTACTTACAGCCCATGCAAAAAGAACAGCTCTTAAGGCGAACAGACATTTGGACGAGGAGCAAGGACCTGAGCTAAAAACAGTACTTATTTAATTTTCATGTGTTTTTATACAGTGGCTGATGCTTGTTGGTTATCTGCTCATCAACTACCTCCACTAGTTGTTTGACTAAAAAAAAAACAAAACGGTGCTGCAGTTTAAATTTTGCACATATTGGAATATCATTTTAATATAATAATTTTTAAAAACTGTATTTAGCAACTTCAAAGATTTGAAATACACTTATATACTTATCATAAATTATGTATAATTCAGTAAATTGATTGGATAAAAGTATTTTCTAATTGTGAGTATAAGGTCTATTTGCAAACTGTCATGAGTGAGACTTGTTGTTCCTTTCATGTTTTAAAAAGGTTTTTGAATACAATTTGGCACTTTGAGCTTATTTTTAGAATGCCACCCTATGTGTTATTAATGCAGTCAGTTCCTCTAATGTATGTTTTTTGGTATATTCACAGTTTTAAGATGAGAATGTGTTTAATTCTAAACCTTTTCCAAAAAGCTGTTCAAATTATTATTAATAAGTTAATAATTATTTAATAAAAT